CCTAAGGCACATGAGCCAAATGGTAGCTGAGATGGGAATAGCACAGGACTTTGCATGAGTTTTGGCCCAGAGGCCAGAAAAAGACCCTCATCCATAATGTAAGTCAACAAATCCACTGGACTTTGGTGATTAAGTAGGTTTATTTTTCAAGCTCTAATTCCCCCCCCATAAAATCAAGAAACAATATGAATTTTTAAAGAGACTGGTAAAAGAAAGTCAATGTTATATGCCCAGGAAAGAAGAGGATGAGAACATGCATCATAACAACAGGTATCTAGATTAAGAAAACAATGATGTACATATAATTATATTTCATTATATATACATATATTATTATATTTTATTAAATAGAAGATACATATACACATTATAAATAATCATGATAGAACCATGGTGGAGCAAAATCTTGACTATGATGGAAATGCCTTTCATTAGTTTATTTGAACCTTTCTAATATATTACCTGAGCTAAGTTTGAGAAGGATTTTGTGGGTGTGATAGTGGGGAAGCAGGATGGTCACACTTGGTTGAAACACACTGTGAATCTCACACGAATGGCACCTAATGGTCACCTGAGCACACCCTGCATTTTAATGACTGGCTTCTGGCACACAGGCTGTTCCTGAGGCATACCAATTCTATTACATAAATGTGTACATACACACATACAGACATGCACGCAAAAAAACTCCTATGCATTTTTCAAGGTGCTGCTCAAATGCAATGAATTTAAAAAGTCCATCTAGATTGTACGAGGGAAATTTTGACTATTTCTTCCTCAGAACACTCACGAATCTTTATAGTACTTCTGCTCTATTTTGTTGCAATGCAGCTTCTGTTAGACTTAGAAGTAAACAAGAGTATAACTATGTTTTCATCATCTCAGTAGCCTCAGAGCCAACCTGTCGATGCTAGGTGTACAATAGATGCTCAATAAATGTTGAATAAGACTACCTAAAGGAGAATGCTTCTTGCACTTCATAATCTCATATCACCACCAGAGGGCAATGTAATCAAGATTACTATACACTGTAGATGCCTTTCCAGGTAACAGAAGTAGTTTTAAAAAATGTATCTAATTTCTCAGATGTTCATTGTACATTTTGCCATGTTTTTCATCAATTCTGCATTTAATATTGAGGAAACATTCCACAAATGTAAAAAAGAACACTTGAAACAGACTTGCCAGTGTATGGAGTCTGGGATTAATTCCCTGGCCAGGAGAAAAGATGGGAGTTGTTCTTTCAATCCCTCAAGATATGAAGCAGCTATCTGAATAAATCAGTGCTATATCTTTAACATTTTAAAAATATCCCGGGTCTCTATATTGTTCTGAGGGTGAAGTCAAGCATCATTATATTTAAGAAAAAACCTAGGGACAAGGGAATAAGCATTTATGAAACCCAGGAAGCCAAAAATCAAGTCCAGCATTCATTCTAAGAAGTTTCTATATATTTACTTTTGAGGCAGGATGGAGCTCAGAAACATAGCACTTTGCCTAGTGCCTAGCCCATGTGATGACTTGGGCTCAATTCCTAGTTACACAAAAATATTAGGTTAAATTAAAAACAATGCTTATTTCTGAGGCATACCAATTCTATAAGCTACTTTTCCTTGTTTAGATTCCAGGCCACTGATGAGACAAAAATCCAAATGTCAAGTTTCTGATGAGCCATCCCTGCTGTTTATTGTAAATAAACATTGAAGGCTACTTGGTGACCATTGCCATGCTGCCAGAGAATGCTTATTCAGTGAAGCCTTTCCCCACAAAATTTTTCCAGGCACTTCTAACTATAAAACAAATACAGAAACAAACACCACATTGATTTTGCTACCATAGTTCTTTGCGTGTACCTCCATAATAGTGCCCCTCATGTTCTACTTTAAGAACCCTTCCTAGACTGGAACTTCTAGAAGGTCAGAGCATGTTTGCTCATGCTTCTAACACAAAGAATATGTATTAATATCTTACACATAGTTTTTGGTAGATTTTTTCATTAAACAAAATGAAATTGAGTTCATGTTCTGGTGACTGTGAATCTGAAACCTACTATTTTTAGTCTGTTTTCATTTTCTGTTCACACAGCTGATTTAGCAGCACTACTTATCAGTTTTAAACTTGGATGGATTCTTGTGTGATTAAAGAATTTTCTATTATAAACATGCAAAGCCAGTACCACAATTTGGTTATCAGATATTTATTACTTAGCCTAAATCGAGCTCCCATTCTCTCACCTGTATTTTTAGGAAGAATAAACAAAAATAATGTTTTAAAACCCCAAAATTAATAACTAATATCCTTTTATTACTCTCCATTGTTCATTGTTATGGTTTGGATATAAGATGATCCCAAAAGCTCCTATGATAATGTAGAAGGTGAAATAATTGTGAGAGCTGTAACCTAATCAGATTAACCCATTTGATGGATTAATAATATGAAAGAACTAACTAGGTGGAAACTGTAGGCAGACAGGGCATGGCTGCAGGAGGTGGATCACTGCAGATGTCCCTTGGGGATTATATCATGTCCCCCTGGTTCCTCCTTCTCTTTCTCTGCTTTCTGGTGGCCATGAGTTAAGCAGCTTCCCTCTACCATGCCCCTCTGTCATGAAGTTCTGCCTCACCCTGGGCCCAAAGTGATGGAGTTGGATAACTGGGGTTGGAACTTCTACAACCATGAGCCCAAAATAAACTTTTTCTCCCTAAGTTGTTCTGTCAGGTATTTCAGTCACAGCAATGAAAACCTAACTAACACACTCATGAAGCCTGTTTCAAATGGCCAATCTAACTGCATTTTTACATCAAATAAGTTTATTATAATCTTTCTAATGAATTCAAGCATAAATAATTGCCAACAGTTGAATAATTGTTCTAATACTGACGGATATAATTCTAGCCTTAATCATTTATTTATTTGTTCAATAAATGTGTATTAAGTGCCTACTGGGTGTCAGGTTCCGCACTTGGCACTGGGGACAGTGGTGAACAAAGGAGTCAATGTCCCTGCCCAAGTAGTGCTTGTGTTTCAGTAGGAGTGAAAACAAAGGAACAGGATGATTTATCAAGATTAAGTAAGCCTGTGCAGCAGTATTTGACAATATTTGTATTACTTAATTTCAGCTTTTTAAAGTTTTAAAACAGCTTGAGTTTCACACAGTTTCCAGTGTTTAGGGAACTCCTTTGTTTAGGATACCAGTGGATAGAAGCTCTTTAGGTCCCCTCTACCTTGAATATTCTAGTCACAAATTTCCTGACTATATTAGTTTTCTAGTTTTTGTGGTATCAAAAATTCCACAAATTTAGCAGCTAAAAACAATATTCATATATGATCTTACAGATCTATAGGTCAAAAGTTCAGGGAGGTTTGGCTTGGTTCTCTACTTAGAGACCCACAGGCTAAGGTCAAAATGTCAGCTATCTGGCTTTTTTCTGGAGACTCCAGGAAGAATCTGTTCTAAGATCATCCAAGTTGTTGGCAGAATTCAGTCCCATGAAGCCAGGCTGAGGTCCCTGTTTCCCAGCTGGCAACCAGCCAGGGACCTCTCTCTCAGTTCCTTAAAGTCACTAAGATTCCCTCTCTAAGTTACTAAGATGTAGCCCCCTACATCATCAAAGCCAGCAATGGCACATGGACCCCTTCTCACACTGAGTCTTTCTGATTTCTGTTGCCCACTTAGATAATCTCTCTGTCTTAAGATCAATTGTGTCATACAATATAAAACAATCACAGAAGTGAGGTCTCATCACAGGTTCTGGGTAGGAGGGTGAGACTAGGGACCATCTTAAAATTCTGCATACCTTGCTGTCAATGGAATTTCTGCCTCAAGGGATTTAGAGACCTCTATTGCCAGACAAAAAGATTTCAGACTCATGCCAAAGATAAGTGCTGTAATATCATATTCATTTATTTAAGAAATTAAGGTGTTTTAAAAGTGCAAGTTGAAATACATTAAAATTGTATTCATCCCCTTCCTTTTATGTCTTTTCCCCATAAAACATACACTTTTCAGGAGAGTAAAAATGTAAATAGCAGATACATTGAGTACTTCCAAGTAACTGAAATAAATTCAATTAAGAATATTAATGAATTCTCATTTACCAAAATATTTTAATGCTCAATCCTCTAAGGTTTGAGTTAATAAACAATGATTTTCTTTTGTCCATTTTTTTAAAGAGAGAGAGAGAGAGAAACTTTTTAATATTTATTTTTTAGTTTTCGGTGGACACAACATCTTTATTTTATTTTTATGTGGTGCTGAGGATCGAACCCAGTGCCCTGCGCGTTACCACTTGAGCCACATCCCCAGCCCCTCTTTTGTCCATTTTTAACTGTCATTCATTAAATTTTAACACTTTGCCATTTTATCAACATAATATAGATAGATATGGTGACCTGATATTTGGGGAAAAAACAGTAATAATGGTGCCTATCAATTTTATGCAGCATTTTTTATGGAATTGAAGATTAAAGGAACTGTCAGTTTTGTTTAAATTTTTGGATCTGTTGACTATTTGAGATGGCAATTCAGTTTTCATTAGTGATTGCTTAAAACTCATTTTATCTACCATACAAAAGGCATAAAATTTGTGTCATTGTGGCTGCCATGAAATCACTTTTTATGCTAACAAGCAGAAAATGTATGATTTTAAGTTTTGAGAGCATTTATCTTTGTCAGATATATTACAAACAAGTAACTCAAACTATCAAAATGTTAAATTCTTATGAATTTAACATATTTTCCTTTAAAGTTTCTAAAATAAAGTTTATGAAGTAAGGACCTTTACTCTCTGAAATGATATCTGTCCAAACATTACACTAGGCACAATGCCACCCACTTCAGAATCACCTATTGTAGCTTATTAAAAATGAGGAATACTAGGCTCACCCCAAAGTTACCATTCAGCTAGGATTTACTTTATTGTTTGCAACAACAACAACAAAYGAAAAAAATTTAAATGAAAGGAGATTAAATGAGATTTTATAAATAAGTTCAGTGAATTGTCAATGTCAGCAAAAAAAAAATGCTTTATTTTTTTCCTCTCCACCCTCCATGGTATCAGCTTCATTCTGAAGAGAGCTATCTTCTATTCCCTGAGAATCTGCTTCCTGTATCACATCTTAGAAAAAAGAGGAGGTTGTTTCTGCAAGAACTCTAAAGAAGCATTCTCCCTTAAAATAGAAAATACTTCTTTACCTGAATTGAGTCAAGTGCCCATTCCTGAGCTGAATAATTCAGTCATGAGATGGGCTCACACTAATTAACTCTAAGCAATGTGCCTACACCTATATCCAGACATGGAGACACCTTCTAAAGCACACTAGGTAAGAATGGGAGGATGTGTATGAACAAGATAAGGAGAAATTGATGAGAAAACACCACAATGCCTATATACTTCTCAGACTCTATAGCCACAAAGGCAGTACACTTACATTCCCAGGAAAGTCATTCTCATAGAATACAATGTGAAGATCCACCCTTTCACCAACCTCCATGATAATTTTGCAACTTGACAACTTTAATCTCTAGGTAAAGTCTGAATTTTAATAAGCTCTCCAAAGTAATTCTGTTATCMATTTTTAACTGGCTTTCATTAAAATTAAACATTCCACTATTTCATCAACAAAATATGGATACATATGATGTGCAGATATCTGAAAAGACAAAAAAATAAGCCTATCAATTTTATACAGCATTTTTATGGAGCTGAAGAATAAAAGAATTGTTAGTTTAAATTTTTGGATCTGACTGTTGACTATTTGAGATGACAATTCAATTTTTCAAACAAGTTTGAGGACCACTGTACTAGTCTGTAAACTCCTTAGGGATAGTTCAATTAATTTATATTTAAGACACCAAATCAAATATATTGTTGTGTACTCTGCAGTAAGTTAACAACATTGGTTACTTGGTGACTTGTTTTTACCAACAGGAAAGTTGGYAAGAGCCTCTAAAATTAAAACACTCAGCGTTACACAACTTACAGTGAGAAATAAAGAGTTTTGACATTACATTGGAATTTCTGGGCTTGCAAACAAATGTCTCATCAATAGCAATAGACAAAAGAGTCTACAAGCCCAGAAAATCCAGGGTAATGTCAAAACTCTTATATATCTCTCTTAGGACCAGATTTGTCCTTAGAAATGGGTCTCAAAGAGGTTTTAATCAGTATGAATTACAAAAGCATATGAGTATTAAGGTACTTATGAAACATCTTGACTTTCACTATGAGCTTTTTTACAAATATATTAATACTTCTACATTGACAGCATATTTCCTAAAAAGTAGATTTTTAGTGCCACTTAGCTTTCTGCAACTAAATAAATCTCCTTTGCAGTGAAAAGAAGGGTCATAGATAAGAAAAAAATGGTTCATAATCATCAGAATACAATTTTGGATCCCCTGAAGCTAGGAACTCATTGACATCCTGGAAGGTGTCCTTATGTGGGTAATCCCTACTTCATAGGATGATGGTTGATGAAGTGACTCAGCATGCCAGCCTCCTATGAAGAAATATATGACTGAAATAGCTCCAGTAAGGCTTAAATCACCTCATTAGTTGTGAAGATTTAACATGTGYATGTATGTCATTAGTATGAATGCTTCTGCCTAAAAATGGTGATACTGAAAATCCCAACTTCACATTTGCCTGCCCTTTAAAAATCAATTACAGAGTGGCATCAGCAGGATGGTAGAATAGAATTTTCAATCACTGGTTCCCTCACAGAACATTAATTTTCTCACTTTTTCTTATCTCTGACCAGTTTTTTCATTGTGAAGGAGATACTCATATAGTTTTCTAACATAATGATAAAAACTTCTTTTGGCAACACCTTTCTGAGAACAAATCTGGATTCTTAGTGACAACCCTATTATTCCCACCGCTTCTGATATGACATTTTCAAGTAAGAAACCATGCAAAAGAACCAAACAAAAATTTTGGAGCTAAAGAACATGATAACTGAAATGAAAGTTTCCAGAGAGCCTCAACAGCTGACAAAGCCTACAGGAAAGAATTGCTGAGCTTGAGGACAGGTTATTTTAAATTTATCCAATCAGAAGAACAAAAAGAAAAAAAAATAATTAAAAAAAACCTAGAAAGTCTACAGGATTATGGGACATCATCAAGTAGATCAATATATACATTATGAGAGTCTCGGAAGCAGAGAAAAAGAAAAGGGGCAGAAAGTATATTTTAAAAAGTAATTACAGAAAAACCTCCCACATCTGAAGACAGAAATGCCTCCAGATTCATGAGGCCCAAGGACCCCAAATAGATTAAACATAAAAACATCTTCATGGAGACACATTATAATTAAATTGCCATGAATTAAAGAAAAGGAGAATTTTAAGTGTAGCAAGAAAAAAACAACTCATTACATTACAAGGGAACCCTCCATCAGACTGTCAGTGGATCTCTGCAACAATCTTACCAACTACAAGAGATTAAGATCATAGATTCTAAGTGCTAAAAGACTAAAACTTCCAACCAAGAAAACTCTAAATAAGGCAAAGTAGTCCTTGAGAAATGAAGATACATAAAGACAAACAAAAGCTGAGGGAGTTCATTCCCACCAGAGCCTCCTTATAAAGGGGTTTAGGTCTCTTGCTGCAGCAACGCTAGGGCAGGAAGAGGAGCTCGGTAAGGCCTAGATGAATAAAAATGAGACACGGAAGAGCACCATGCCTACCAAAGACACCACTGAGCAGGAAAAGTGGAGTGAAATTTCCTAAGAGCCTTAAGGATTCCCCATGCCCATCTCTCTGACTCCCCAGTTGGGACATGGAGGAAGAGCCACCTGCAAGCTGCACTGTGAACCCCGGCATTATTATGAAAATATGTGAAAACTCATTGTAAAGGCAAGAATATAATCAAATTCAAAATACTTTAATGTTATGTTAGGTGGTATGTATGTCATTTTTAACCCTAGTAGAAAAAAATTAAAAAACAAAATACTTATTAATATAACTATAGCTACAATAATTTGCTACTGAATATACAATATAAAAAGATGCAAACTGTGGCATCAAAAAAATAAAATGTGGGGGATTAAATTAAAGAGTTTTTGTATATAGAGTTAAGTTGTTACTTAGACTATTGCAACCCTAAAATTTTTATATGTCTTATTTATGGTAAGCACAATGAAAAGATCCATGTTAGACACAACAAAAGGTAAACAGAATAGAATCAAAGCATACCACTACAGAAAAGCATCAAATCATAAAGAGAGACAGTAAGAGAGGAATATTAAAACAAAGGAGCTAAAAAACATTTGGAAGACAATTAACAAAATGGCAATAGTTAAGTCCTTATCTATCAATAATTACTTTAATTGTAAATGGATTAAATTCTCCAATCAAACGACAGAGTGGAGGAATGAACTGAAAAGAGAAAACAATACCCATCTATATGCTGCCTATAAGAGAGTCATTCAGCTTTAAGGACAACACATTGACTAAAAATGAAGAAATGGAAAAGATACCCCATACAAATGTTAAACAAAGGAAAACAGAGGTAGCTACTTATAGCACATAAAATAGAGTATGTCAAAAAGAATAACAAGAGGTAAAGTTAATTATATGATAAAGGAGTCAGTACACTAAAAAGATATAGCCATTGTAAATATATGCTACCTGCATCAGAGCACCTACATATATAAAGCAAAAGAGAAACAGACCTGAAAGAAGAAATAGTAGTATAATAATAGTAAGGAACTTAGACATCCTGCTTTCAACAATGGATAGATCAYCAAGAGAGAAAATTAATATGGAAATAGAGGATTTGAATGACATTATAGATCAAATAGACCTAAAAGACATAACAGAATATTGCATCCAACAGCAGCAGAATGTGCATTCTTTTCAAGTATACATTCTGTGAACATTATCCTGGATAGATTATATGTTAGAACACAAAACAACTCTTAAAAAAATATAAGGAGACTGAAACCATATAAGTATCTTTTTCAACCACAATGATTTAAAATTTGAAATGGTATAAAATTTGAAACTTGGAGGAAAACATATAACAGCAGGAAAATTGGAAAATTTACAAATATGTATACAAATACCGGGGTAGGGAGGGAAAGGGAGAGACAAAGAAAAAGAGGAAAAATATAAAAGATCTCAAATAAGCAACTTAACTTTAAGCCTCAGGGAACTAGAAAAAGTTAGCAGAAGGAAGGAAATAATAAAGGTAAGAGCAGAAATACATGAAACATAGACAAGAGAAATAAATTATCAATGAAACGAAGAGTTGGCTTACTTGAAAAGATCAACAGCATTGAAAAATCTAAAAAAAAAAGGAAGAAGAGACTCAAATAAATTGTAAATGAAGAGCAGACATTATAACTGATACCACAGAAATCTAAAGAATCATTTAAAAACTATGAAAAATTATATGACAATAAATTGTATAACCTAGAAGAAATGGAAAAGTCTCAGAAATATAAACTCTACTAAGACTGACTCAAAAAGAAATAAAAACTCTAAACAGACTAAGAATGAGTAGGGAGACTGAATTGGTAAATAAAAACCTCCTAACAAAGAAAAGCCTAGAACCCAATAGCTTCACTGGTAATTTCCACCAAACATTTAAAGAAAATTTATCTTTCTCAAATAGTGGAAGAGGAGAGAACATTTCCAAACTAATTTTATAGGGCCAGCATTACCCTGATACCAAAAGCCAGAGAATTGCAAGTTAAGGTCAACATGGACAACTTAGCAAGACCCTGTCCCAAACTAAAAAATAAAAAGGGGAGGAATGTTGAGCACAATGGTAGAATCCTCCTGATTTCAATTCCCCCATCCTGCAAAAAGCAAACAAAAATCACCTTGTATATATCTTAAAAATCTTGAAAAAATTAAACTCCAATACCTGATGTGTTAATTTACTAAAATCTTTCCAGAATGCACTCTGTCAATCAAAGAATTGTTTTAATGTAGTAATATTTGCAGAGTCCCAACAAGCAATCTCTGTGAAATATTGGTAACAATATTTGTTGAGCCTGTGAGCCAAAAATATGCTAGTATGTTAAAAGCTGGGAACCTCTGAATCTATCCTCAAAAACCTTGAAAGATAAGAAAAAAGGCTAGCCCAAGATGCTTATATTTGGTTTCCACCTTAATAAAGAGTAATTATTTCAGTAGCTCTAGTAGAACATGTTCCATTCAGATGCTGGACAACAAGGAGGCACTTTAGTAGGCCTTCAGTTGCAGTCCTCTATTATAGCCAAATCTACTATGGGTTATAATATCCTAAATGGTATACAATTATGGAATTTGGTGGGGGAGRTACCAGGGATTGAACTCAGGGGCATTCAACTACTGAGCCACATCCCCAGACCTATTTTGTATTTTATTTAAAGACAGGGTCTCATGAGTTAATTAGTGCCTCTCTTTTGCTGAATTCAAGATTCTCTTGTCTCAGCCTCCTGAGCCTCTGGGATTACAGGCATGCACCAACACATGCGGCTCRATTACAGAATTTTGAAAGGAACAAAATGTATTCATTTCTGCCATAAAATTTATTAAGCAACTATTCTGTTCTTTGCAGAGAGTTAGGAGATGAATCTGAACAGCTTACCAGATATGATTCCTTAATCTCTCCATGTATAAAATGGGGATGAGTCCCTACTCTACAGCAATACTCAAAGTAGGTTCCTGAGAATACATAAGACAATCCAGTAAAAGTGCTGAGCACCATCTCTAGTACCAAGTAATGCTTATTAAGTTAAAATGGACCATAGTTCACAAATCCCTTTTGTATGTTCTCTCATTTTCCCTTACAACACTGTGTAAGGGTAAGATAACTAACTTGAGTGATTTTGCCAAAGCCACATAATTAATTAAAAATCAGAAAAGCCAGAACTGAAGCCTATTTTCACGGTTCAAAAATTTCTTCTTTCCAATAGTTGGAGTTAAACCATAGAAGMATCTTTTCTAACTTTGAAAAAGAAAATCTGTGCTTTCATAAAGATTATTGCAATTCCTAAACTACTAACCATAGAATTAAGATAGGAAGATAATACATTTTATTTTATTAGAGTTGTGCCTTAAAACAGTTGGTTACACCAGTGGAAATCAACCAGTTGACTAGTTTATAGATTAGCTAAGTCAAGAAAATCTATGGGCTTATATGTGTGTTTGTATGTATATATGCATGCACATGTGCTAAGTGTAACAGTAATGTGTTTAGCTGCAAGTGACAGGAAAAATTAATATGGATTTAAACAAGATAGGGATTTATTTGATTCATGAAACAAGCAATCCAAATATAAGCAGCCCAAGCTGTTGTAGAAGTTCTACAACTTCAGGAATGTTCCTGATTCCTTCCAAAGATTGCAGCATCACATCCAAACATCATATCCTCATTTCAAGAATAATAATAGCAAATGTTTTCTCTATAATACTCAACTTATACCTCATTGGCCAGAATTATGCCACATGATCATTATTTCCCATGAGAAAGTCCAGCGAAGAAACCACTTTTAACTTAGCAGCATGCCATTCCAAGTTAAATCAGAATTCTCTTAACAAAACAAAAAGGAAGAACGAGTAGCAATGCCTGTCATTCTGATATGATGTTTTCAGCAACCTTAGAAACCATATGCAGGCATTTCAATATTTATTGCTATTAACATGTTCTTCTAAAATAGGTTCTAAAATATTTCCACAGCACTGAGCTAAGATGTGGTAAAAACGTAGTTTATTCACCCACAAATGCAAATATATAGAGATAGATTTGTATATACATGCAAACATATATATGATAGATATTTGTATATATGCAAAGATATTGTATACATGCAAATATATTTTTATCTATCTATATATAAAGTTATTTGATATTTTAGGCTTGTTATGAGAGCTCTTTAAGCCCTGTTCTCATTACTTTGGTGAAGATTGGTTTACACATATTCCTGAAGGATGAGATTGAGATATAGTAAAGCTCATTAGTTAGGGTGCCACTAATTTGGGAGGTGTTCTTTAATAGTTGAGATGCAACTCTAGAGCTGTGCTATCCAATGGTGGCTATTTAGATATAAATTAAATTTTAAAAATTAAAAATTCAGTTCCATGCTCACCATAGCTACATTTCAAGTACTCAAAGACCACATGTGTGGGCCAGGGTTGTAAAGATTTATCCCATCACTGGGTATATTCTAAAAAATGAGTTGCAGAGATTCAATAGCTGCATTTTCGTATGTTGTTTTTACTTTTTAAAGAGGAAGGAACAGCGTGTGTGTGTGTGTGTGTGTGTGTGTGTGTGTGTGTACACAGAAAAATAGTTATGGAAGATTTTGTAAAGATACAGATCAGGGTATTAGTGAATACCTAAATTTGGGCAGGTTCATAGTGTTTGTTTTCTTCATTTTGCTAATCTATGGTTTCTATTTTTTTCTTTCATGACAATTTGTTGCTTTTCTGGGGGTGGGAAGTACCAGGGATTAAACTCAGGGGCACTTGACCACTGAGCCACATTCTAGCCGTATTTTGTATTTTATTTAGAGACGTGGTCTCACTGAGTTGCTTAGTGCATCCACCTTGCTGAGGCTGGCTTTGAACTCGTGAYTGTCCTCTCTCAGCCTCCCAAGCCGCTGGGATTACAAGTATGTGYCACTGCGCCCAGCATGTTGCTTTCTTTTTTTTTTTTTTAAATAAAAGAATGGTTGTTTTTAAAGTAGGAATTTCAAAGTCACAATAATTATACCTAAGAAAGTATTCTCACAATGTTTTTAACAATGCCAACATGGCTAACATAAGTACATTTCCCCAAGTTTATTACTTTAGGACAACCCTCAATTGAAATGTAAAAAATAAAAAAATAAAAAAGTGTTAAAAAATGAGTTGCACTATTTCATAACTGTATCTTCCATAATAGTTATATACCATTCTTAAATGATTGCCAGAGCCTTCTTTGCTATTATTCACTAGATTAGTATTACTGTATGTAATTAAAATAGAAGTTATCTATAATTTCACCTATTCCCTTTTAATCTAGTCTTTTTCTTTCTTTTACAGAAATAATGAGTTCTCTAACTCCCACTGCCACCCTACAAAACCCTATTCCCCAGAGGTATTTCATCTTCCTAAATCTACCTGAAAACTCACTATTTAATGAGTTCAGGTTTTCCCTCTGGACTAAGAAGGTACAAAGCTTCTTCTGCCTCATCTCCATTTATTCCAAGGCTAACAAATTTATACGTGGATGCCACATTTAGCAGAGCCAAAAAGCAACTTCTCTACACCTCTGTATAGACCAGTCAAAGATCTCTGTATGTCCTGTTCCACAAACATCTCCTCTCCCTACTTGCCAGAAGTACCACATGGCTGTTAAGAATGTGTCTCTCAAGCCCACAAGTTCTCTCAGAGCTATCACACTACAGCCTCTCCAGTTCCCAAACTGGAGCATATATAAAGGAGGGACAGGGTGGTGAATTGAGAGGAATATATTTAATAGGAAGTACAAGCAAACATCAATGAGCTAGTTACAGGTGATAATGAACTTGTATAGAAATGGGTTGTCTACTCTGGTGCAGTGGAAGAAATTAACATTTCTGACTTGCCTTGTTTTGTCAATATTTAAGCATTTGTTCTACTGAATGTGACTACTTGTACAGACATACTTTTGTTTGTCTCACACATGAAAAGTGAAAGCATAAAGCATGTAATCCAAGTGGTTTCTGATCCAAGCATTTTTATACCATATTACTAAATCTAGCTCAAAATAATAGGAAAGATAATACTTCCCCCCTAATATTTGCTCTATCAATCCAGACTCAACAGCACAGAATATCTTGAATTGTATTAAAAAATAAAGGCTTGGGCTGGAGATGTGGCTCAGCGGTAGCGCGCTCGCCTGGCATGCGTGCGGCCCGGGTTCGATCCTCAGCACCACATACCAACAAAGATGTTGTGTCCGCCGAGAACTAAAAAATAAATATTAAAATTTCTCTCTCTCTGTCTCTCCTCTCTCACTCTCTCTTTAAAAAAAAAATAAAAAATAAAGGCTTCACTTTATAAAATAACATTTGAGTTGTTATTTTATCAATGATCAGCATGCCCACCTGCTGAAAGTAGAAAATAATGGCATGCTCCTCTCTCCATGGGTGAGTATTTCAGGTTTAAGATGGAAAGTTCTGAAAAAAGAAAGGAGGAGGAGGCTGTTATAATATGTGTATACATCATTTCCCTCCAGAAAGAATTAGTACTGAAATGCTTTTGCTGGCTTTACGACACAGATTCCATACCTTTTGTTAATTAACAAGGAAACAGGCGGTGACAACAACTACATCAAAACTAGAAAGTCTTTCCAAATTGAAATCAGACTATCATTTTGAAGACAATATGGAATACTATTGTACTTATTACATTGTTTATTTCAAGATCAGCTTGTTACAAATTCTGGGTTTGAAAAACATGCAACTCCATCTCCCCATGCACTGCAACTAGGAGTTATACTAATACATGAATGTAGAAACAACAGATGACTAAAAAAAATCATATTTGGATTTGTTTTGTTATCATTCTTATATTTGAATCTTGAGTGTCCTTGATCAGAAAATTCATTCAACCTTAAGCAATGAAGTCTCACCCTAAAAATCCGAAGACCTGAATGTCGAGAAATTCTCTATTTTTAATAGGCAGCACAGTCCTTTCTTACTCCCTCCCTTCTCTTGGATCAGCAGGTGTCTCTGCCGCTCCAGTAGACCAAGAAAAGGAAAAGGAGGGGGCGATGAGAAAGGAAAGGAAACTGTCTACGTATTTTGGTGATGGAGGTGGGGGGTATTTTAATATGATTAAACTCTCCAGTTTTAACGTTCTTAACCATATTTTATAATGATCTGCTATTAAGGATTATGCAGCAGAGTTTGGGTATGTCCATCTGTAACTTATAAACGGAAAGGAACAAGGAATAGGAGGCAGCACAGGGATGGGGTGGGGGAAAGCAAACGTAGGCGCGTGGGGACGGGAAGGGAGAGGCGGATTTGGCAGTCGGAAGRGGGACGGGAGGAACAGAAATGGAAACTGTGGCCTGGCTGCCCTGCCCCATTGTGTGCGTGTGTGGGGTTGGGGCCCACAATGTCGCACTCCCCTCCTCCCACTCCGGGCTTTTCCTTTGCTGGTCTAAGCCACTAAATATAATGTACAAAAGGTCAATAGCCAAGAAAAGAAAGGCTATCTCCCGAGGATGCGCAGGCTCGCTGCCGGGCGACCAGGAATCGGCAGGGCAAGCGGCGGTCCCTGGGCGCGTGGCTTTGGGGCTTTGTGGTTAGAAGCCCCARGACCACCAGCCCAGACCCTTGGGCCCACGGCGCTCACCCGTACTCAGTACCCCTAGGCGCCTCTGATCAGGGCGGTCGTGAAGGCGAAGCTGAGCGTCCGCCCGCCTTATGGGTGCCACTGGGGCTTGCCTCAKCCCCGCCTGACCCTTTGCAGGGCTCGCCTGGTTGCCCGCGAGTCCAGGCCCTCCTATGCGGGATCCCCTCCTCGTCATTTCGGCGGCAATCTCCAGAAAACATGGCGGCCGGGCGTCGACCGCGGCGCCTCCTCTCCGGGCCCTCGAGGTGGACGAGGTTAGCTGCGGCCAGCGCCCTGGACCAGCGGCGGGCAAACCCGGGAGGGGCGGGGAAGGCCGGGCCAAGAACTGGAAGGAGCGGCGCGTTGCCGAATCCGCTAGCCAGGCGCGCGCGGGGGCGGCGGGCGGGCGCGGGCTCGGGCTCAGGCTCGCGCGCGGAGGCGCGGACGCGGGCGGGGGCGGAGCGGCAGCGGTGGTTGGAAGCGGCAGCTCAGAGCCCTCTCGCGGCCGGGGCGGCAGCAGCGCCAGCCCCAGCAGCAGTCCGGCCGCCGCCGCCGCCGCCGCCTCGCGCTCTTGCCATCCGGCCCGACATGAGTGAGGCGGAACGGGCGCCTTCGCCTGCCGCGCCGCCGGCGGTGGCGGCGGCCGCCTCTGAGGAAAAGAAAGGGAAGGAACCGGAGCGCGAGAAGCTGCCACCCATCGTGCCCGCCGGCGCCGGCGCGACGGCGGTAGGTACGGGGCGGGGGCCGCGGGCAGCCCCGACGGCAAGGAGGGAGGGCGGTCGGGCGAGGGGCGCCCGGGGCCCGCATCTCCTCTGGGGTGCCCGGGCGCTGCCCCCGGCCGATGCACCTGGGTTGGACTTCGTTGGCCGAATTGAAAGAGTTGCGCCTGGTGGACAGCCTCGAACACTTGGCGAGCTGCACCTTTCACGCTCTGGAAATGTTGGGGGTGGCCGGTTCTGATGGACCTTTTTGGTTATTTTCTGGGGCTTAACCCCCTAGCTCCCTGCACACACGCGCGCGCGCGAGCACACACACACACGACACTTTTGTCTAAGGGCATGACATGCATCCTGGAGTGGCATTATCTTTTGGATGAACATACATGTCAGGCAGGCAGGAGTGGGTTTTCCACGGAGCTGCCTGCCTGCCTGCCTGCCTGCCTTGGAGGTGTGGATATTTCGCTCTTTTCTTTCCCTTCCCCCTTCCCATTGAACAGGCTCTGCCGCGAGTTTCCACTTAATTGTGACCTTTCCGTTGCTCTCAAGGTAGTGGGAGGTAGATACATGGATGATGGTTTTATTTTTCATATGGTACAGACAYGTGACTTAAGTGGGGGGAGGCCTTTTGAACCTTTTATTTAAACTCAACTTGCCTAAGCTTGACAGAGATGATTTCCCAGCCGGATTTTCGGAAGGGTTATTTGGAGAGCGCTCTAGGGCTTCAAACTACATGTTGCCAGATGATGTCATGGGACAGCCCCCTCTCTCCCTTTTCCCGATTTGCGCTGGTAGTTTTGACTCTGGTTACTTTTGAACACAATAAAAAATTAGCCTCTCGTTTTGAGATTTATGTTTGACATAATATTTAAATACTTTTTGAAARTTTGCTTTGATATATTCAAAGATTGTGATTTGTCATGCAACTGTGCGCGACAAAATAGTAAAAGTTTAGTGAACATTATACATTCTTTATTCCTACTTGCAATTAATTTCTGAAAACCTCCCTCTTAAATGACTAAGAACTTACTAAAATAACTCACTCTTCTTTAAAGTATTAGTACTGGAATAATGTTTTGATTTGATAAGTTTTTGAAATGTCTCAGGGCTGGGAAACTAGAAATTGTTAAAAACAACTTTGCTAAGTCAATGTGGCAAATCGTGAACAGTAATGGTATGAATTTAAAAGCATAGCTACAATTGGACCTGCAATTAGGGATTACCTCGGGAAATGTTTCAAGGAATTTGTCACTCAACTTCTTATATACCTGATTCCTCCTGGTACACTAGGTTTTTAAACCTTGTATTGGAAGTTCTTAACTCACAGTGTTCCAACAGTTCATTTCTAAGGTGGTTTGTTTAAAACAATAAATGTATGTGCTTATACAATTATGTGAATGGGTTTACTTTCTGAAGTAGACACCTTCCCCCAAAACTATTTATCTTATTGTAACTAAATTTGAAGGTTTGGAATAAAAATGTACAGAAATTGATAAAATGTGGTTGCAGGTATATGTTATCTGAGGCCCACATGGCTTTGGAATTTGTACATTTTCAGATTTTTAGGAAGGTAATTTTATATATATATATATATATATATATATATATATATATATATATATATATATATATAAAATATCCACAGTGAGGCTTCCTATATTCAAACATGTTAAAAAACTGCAAGAAAATGTATATGTGTTCACCTTAAATGGGATAAAGTCAGACTCATGTCAGTTCAGGTCAGGTTTATGCTTTGCAACCTCAAATGAGTTGCAAAAATATTTCTTCTTCAAGAATTTGTAGAATTTAGTAATTGTGAAAAAAAGTGTTTATGGATTTGTACTACTAGTAAAAAAAGAATACAGTTCAAGAAAAAAATTGAAATCTTGAATTAAACTTTGAAAAGACATAGGTTAGAGTAGAAGAAGAGGGGATGAACAGAAAAACCTTAGATTCTGAAAGCAGTTTCTGGTAACTTATAAGGACTTTCAGTTTTGGTACCATTGTGTTTTGTTTTGTTTTAATGACAGTTTATAAACAGAATTTATGACAGTTTATTGTAGATTATGTGTTTGTCTCAAAGAGAGATTGTCAGAGCTGTAATTCTGAGTTATATGTAGCAGTGAAAAGCCTAAGTCAAGAAAATATATACTTGGTTCTTCCAGAAGTCAGGAAAGCCAGGATAACTGGGATGATGAATGAAGATTACCAGTGGATAGGGAAGGCCTTAATATGTGTGTTTGGGGTGGGGGGTTCCTGATGTGGTAGGGCAGGCAAGGAAAGATATTTTGCAGCCTGTTAGGTTTTTTCAGCCTCCTTCTGGATTAAAATAGAGTCCCTGGGAGTTTGTTTAGGAATCTWATTGTCATCAATAACTTTTTCTTTAAGCCATTTTAGTGATTCTTCCATTTTACCCCAGGTTAACAGGTGTCTTTTCTATAGGTTGAGTTTATGACTTAATTCAGGTGGCCCTGTAATAGTGGTTTTTTAAAATCATTGTACCACATTTATAAGAGTAGAAAACAATTTAGAATGAAAACTCAAAAAAAAATAATAGTAGATAGTAGACCAGATTATGAGGACACATCCTTAAGGTTTAAAGAAAAGTGTAGGGGTAGGAGAAAGAATACTGGAAAGGGTAATGATAGATTCTAAAACCCTTTAAGTGTGAAGGAAGTGCATTCTAACTAGGAGGTTCCTAACMCAATGGTCTCAAATCTGACCAGAGGGTTACTTTGGTGGTAAGTTAAGGTCCTGATTCTTGCATCTCACCCTGATGTACTAGTTTTCAACCTTTGATGCTCATTAGACTCACCTGGGAAACTTTTTAAAGCTATTATTATTCAGACCCAAATGCAGGCTTTTAAAATCAAATTTCATGGGGATGAAGTTCAGGCATCTAAAAATAAATCCCATGGTATAGCTAAGATTTAAAATTGATACTGTATGTACTAAATTTGAAGCTTCATGGGTGAGGCCCAGGAAAATGTATTTTTAACTATAACCCACTACACCTCACCCCACACATCTCACAAGTCTATTTAGTTCATGGAACAACATTTGAAAAGGATTGGGGAGAAGTTTGGATTAAGTGAATGAGGCACAGTAGAAACCAGTTGCAGTGTGGGAATTGAAAAAAAAATGGCAAAATGGTTCTAGTTAGAGATGCTCAACAGGCTCAAGATAGAACCCTCACAGAACTATCAGTGTTTGAGATTTGGTCTTGCTACTGTGAAGAAGTGATGCAACTCCACAGAGTCAAGGAGAATAAAGAATTTGAAATAATAAATGTATATGGAAAAACTGATGATAGTTAAGATTAGAGTGAACCAGAATAATATGAGTTAGTTGCTGATACAGATATTATGGAAAAGCAGTGAATGGAGAAGGAGAAAATGCAGGAGGGCTATAAATAACAGTGGCAAATAAGGACAAGTTTTGACTGTTTACTTGAACATTTAATCAGGTGAACAGGAAAAGGGAGATTCTCCATAGGATAGGGAATGAAGTGGGTTCAAGAAAGAGCTACTTTTTACTTAGGTGAAGGCAAATAGAAGAAACCAGTTGTGTGTGTGTGTGTGTGTGTGTGTGTGTGTGTGTGTGTGTGTTGCTGAGGAGTGGACCTAGGTCTTTGGGCGTGTGCTCTTTACCACTGAGCTATGTCTGTAGCCCTGGCTTAAGAATTTTAAAGGGAAGTTTGCCCACAAAGGGATGGTCAGGAAACATGTCAAGTAGCTACCAGGTGAAAAGAGCTTGAGTAAGAGCATAAAGTTGTATACAAATGGGGTTGGTGGGGCTCTTCAACCAAAGTCTAACTACTAGTTATTGAACATCTATTATGTAGATCTTTACCCAAGATGTTGCAGAAAATGGTTAAAAAAAAAAAAGTCCCAGGGCTGGGGATGTGGCTCATGTGGTAGTGGGTTCGCCTGGCATGCGTGAGGAACTGGGTTCGAGCCTCAGTACCACATAAAATAAAATAAAGATATTGTGTCCACCTAGAACTAAAAAAATTTTTTAAAAAAGTCCCTACCTCAGGGTATGCAGGGCTAATGCTTGAAAAGCAAAACAGTATGTAAAATCCACAGTGAGCTATACAAACAGTTTGCCCTATAGGAGGTCAGAGAAAGGAGATCAGTGTTGGTAGAACTGTGAAGAAAGGCCTTGAAGTAAAGGTAATTCTTTAAACTGGCTGGCCATTGAAGGATGATAGGCTTTGGATGGGCAAAAGAAAGTGGGCCAAGTAATCCAATGAGGAAAACAACATGAACAAGCCTTAAGCGGAAAAATTAGAGAGCCATAAAGCAAGCCCAATGGAAACATGCTGGGAACTTGTGGGAGGTAAGTGAAATTGCATGGGGGCTGGAGCCAGATCACTAGGCAGAGAAGTTTGGACTTTTTTTCCCCCTGTGGTTAATGGGAAGCCATTGGAATTCTTTAAATAGAGGAACAACATGATGAAATCAGTGGTAGTATATAGTTAAACTGGAAGAGAGGAAAAAGAAGTGAAGAAAGGAACTTTGTGGTTCATGCCTGAGGTGATGAGTACATCCCCGAGA